GTGCCCATCTTTGCATGAAATGTTCCCTGAGTATCTCTNTGTCTCTTTCAGATCTGGTTTCCTCGGTGTGTATGCCCAGAAGTGGGATTGCTGGGTCATATCTGCCACCACTTCTTAACGTCTCCTGCTTCTGTTGGGTCCGTACCACCTCTGTCCTTTATTGTGCCCACTGTTGCATGATGTGTTCCCTTGGTATCTTTGATGTTCTTGAAGAGATCTCTAGATTTTCCTGTTCTATTGTTTTCTCTGAATTTCTTTGCATTGATCACTGAGGAAGGCTTTCTTATCTCTCCTTGCTGTTCTTTGGAACTCTGCGTTCAGATGGGTTTATCTTTCCTTTTCTACTTTGCCTTTTGCTTCTCTTCTTTTCACAACTTATATAAGGCCTCCTCAGACAACTGTTTTGCATTTGTGCATTTCTTTTTCTTGGGGATGGTCTTGATCGCCACCTCCTGGACAATGTCCCGAACCTCCGTCCATAGTTCTTCAGGCAGTCTGTCTATCAGATCTAATCCCTTGAATCTGTTTGTCACTTCCAATGTATAATCATAAGATTTTATTTTTGTCATACCTGAACGGTCTAGTGGTTTTCCCTACTTCCTTCAATTTAAGTCTGAATTTTGCAATAAGGAGTGTGTGATCTGAGCCACAGTCAGCTCCGGGCTTGTTTCTGCTGACTGTATAGAGCGTCTCCATCTTCAGCTGCAAAAATATAATCAGTCTGGTTTCCATTTTGAGCATCTGATGATATCCATGTGTAGAATCGTCTCTGGTGTTGTTGGAAGAGGGTGTTTGCTATGACTAGTGCATTCTCTTGGAAAAAATATATACTTAATCTGGTTTCAGTATTGACCATCTGGAGCAGGGTGCCCAACTATTTCTTCCCTAGAGGCGCTGTGGTCTTTCAGAGCTTTTCAGGGATACTAATGTTCCTGCTCCAATGGCTGTGTCAGTGCCTCACAGAAAAGAGCTGATTTCTCTCTCCCTAAGCTTTTGGATATGTACAAAATGAAGCAGGGCAAAGGCTAACAGTTTTGCCAAAAGAACACTGGTCATAGCAAAAACCCTCTGACAAGAACACCAGAGATGACTCTACCCATGGATATCAACAGATGTCAATACTGAAATTGGATTTATTATATCCTTTGCAGCCAAAGATAGAGAAGCTCTATACAGTCAGGAGAAACAAGACTGGAGCTGACTGTGACTCAGATCATAAACTCCTTATTGCCAAATTCAGACATAAATTGAAGAAAGTAGGGAAAACCGCTAGATCATTCAGGTATAACCTAAATCAAATCCCTTTCGATTGTACGGTGCAAGTGACAAATAGATTCAAGGGATTAGATCTGATAGACAGAGTGCCTGAAGAACTATGGACAGGGGTTCATGATATTGTACAGTAAGCGGTGATTGAGATCATCCCCAAGAAAAATGCACAAAGGCAAAATGTGTGTCTGAGGAGGCCTTACAAATAGCTGTGAAAAGAAGAGAAGCGAAAGGCAAAGGAGAAAAGGAAAGATAAACCCATCTGAATGCAGAGTTCGAAACAATAGCAAGGAGAGGTAAGATAAGAAAGCCTTTCTCAGTATCACTGCAAGGAAACAGAAGAAAGCAATAGAATGGGAAAGACTAGAGATCTTTTCAAGAAAATTAGAGATACCAAGGGAACATTTCATGCAAAGATGGGCACAATAAAGGACAGAGGCAATATGGACCTAACAGAAGCAGAAGACATTAAGAAGAGGTGGTACGAATACACAGAAGAACTATACAGAAAAGGTCTTAATGACCCAGATAAGCATAATGATGCGATCACTTAACTAGAGCCAGACATTCTGGAGTGCAAAGTGAAGTGTGCCTTAGGAAGCATCACTATAAACAAAGCTAGTGGAGGTGATGGAATTCCAGCTGAGCTATTTCAAATCCTAAAAGATGATGCTGTGAAAGTGCTCCACTCAATATGTCAGCAAATGTGGAAAACTTAGCCGTGGCCACAGCACTGCCAAAGATCAGTTTTAATTCCAATCCCTAAGAAAAGCAATGCCAAGGAATGTTCAACCTACTGCACAATTTCATTCATCTCACATACTAGCAAAGTAATGCTCAAAATTCTCCAAGCTAGGCTTCAACAGCACATGAACTGAAAACTTCCAGATGTTCAAGCTGGATTTAGAAAAGGCAGAGGAACCAGAGATCAAATTGCTAACATCCACTGGATCATTGAAAAAGCAAGAGAATTCCAGAAAAACATCTACTTCGGCTTTATCGCCTACACTAAAGCCTTTGACTATCTGGATCACAACAAATTGTGGAAAATTTTCAAAGAGATGGGGATACCAGACCACATTACCTGCCTCTTGAGAAATCTGTATGCAGTTCAAGGAGCAACAGTTAGAACCAGACATGGAACAATGGACTGGGTTCCAAATTGGGAAAGGAGTATATTGTCAATATCCAGCATCAAGGCTGTATATTGTCACCCTGATTATTTAATTTCTATGCAGAGTACATCATGAGAAATGCTG